CAGTCGCCTGTCGGTGATGGGGACCGGAGGGAAGAGCCGGGAGCTGGTAGTGATGATGGTGATGATGGCACCACAGGTGAGCTCCTCTGTGTCCCCTTCTCCATCCTTGTTTCTTCGTTGGCCTCTTGATTCCCCGTCTTCAGCCCTTCTCCCAGTCCCAGGGGCACGTCAGCCACCTTCTCACCGGGATCAGGTCTTGCCCCAACCCTGTTGCCTCCCTCTTGCTCCAGATTTGACAGCACCGTCATGTAAAACAAATCTCTGGGCCTTTGCTGGAAAAACAGGTAGAGGAGTCTCCCACCAGGCTTGCTCCTACCACAAAACGAGCTTGTATCTTCTCTGTCCTTTCCTTCCCCTGGAAAAGCAGAGCTGGGGGATCTCAGGTTCATTACAGGTGTTGAGCCGAAGACCTCGCTGAGCCCACGCAGACGCAGCTCTTGGCAGCTTCCAAGAGCCACAGCTCTTGTTGTTTATCCAGACTGAAAACTGGGGAGAAAAATCCTTTTTTTTCCCCTGTAGTAGCTACTTGAGAAGAGGTTGAGCTTCTTCCAGTAGAATATTTTGGAGTAACTTGGCCCTCACTTCTTCTGCTCAGCGGGATGGCACCATGGAGGTCCTTTCCAATGCCTGCAGGCTTCCCAACCCTGCTGCCAGATCCACTCCCCATCCTCCTCCTCCCTCCTCTGCCTCTCCCAACATCCCGGCTCAGCCAGCCCCGCTTCAACTTACTGCAACTCCTGTCCGTGTCCTTGCAGCTCCACAAGTGCCGACAGAGACGGGGACCATGGCAAAAGATGATGGGAGGTGAGTGGTGGCATGCGTGAGTCTTCCCCTGGTGTATAACAGGGCTCTCCAGAGCTGAAGGTCAAGTTTGGACCCATCCATCTCATCCCTCGAGTTCTCCAAGGGGCGAGCAACGTTTTAACGAAGACCTTCCGTGATAAAACCCGTTGCAGCAGAGCTGACTTTGATCATTGCGTTCCTGCAGTACGCCCATCCTGGAGGAGAAAGCGGAGCAGGGGGCTGAGCCCCAAGAAGAGGAGGAAGAGGAGGATGAGGACTTTGCGGAGGACGATGACCTCACCTACACCGATGATCTGCGTGATGAGAACTACCACCCATCTCTGGACAGGTGAGGAGCACTTAGAGCTGCTGGAAAGGAGCCCGTGGACTGGGACCATGTGAGAGCTGGTCCACAGGCTCCCAGTTGCACCGTCCCAGTCCAGATGGGTATCACACTGGGAGGGTTTCAGACCTTACATCTCTGCCGCCTTCTTGTCTTGCTACAGCTGACCCTAGCAGAGATGGGAGGAGATGGGAATAATGTCCTTGTATCACCTAAATAAGGTCCTTTTGGGGAGGCACCTTCTTTCACTGTATCTCTGCCTGGGTGAGGGTCTTTGCCACGTCCAACCAATGTCCTGCCACGTCCAACCAATGTCCTGCCACGTCCAACTGCATCTGACCATGTCCTACCACATCCAACCATCTAAACCATCTTGCTTATCCCATGTCCCATCTTCTCCCCCAGCGACTCTGAGCCACAGCGACGACAAAGCCAGACCAAAGCCCGTAAGAAACCCGTAAAGGAGGAGCAGCCCTTGAATGAGCCGAACCTGACCAGCTCCAGCCCATCAGAGGAGAAGGTTGGACGAGTCAGGTGAGTCATGAGGGCTGCGTCGGTGTGGTGAGGCTGGGGACGGGCATCGGGGTGGTTGTCTTGGGGCATCCATGTCTCTCTGGCCAACTGAATGAGCATTTTGGGGCATGTTGGAGATGATGCTGCTTTCCGTGCTGAGAAACCAGATGGAAATCATCCAGCCCAACAATAGAAGATGTTCAAGCCCTGCGCTCTGGGCAGGGCAAGAGCCGTGTGTCCCTGGGGTGGTTTAATCCTCCTCGCGGTGCCATCGTCCACAGGGCAGAGCTGTGCTGCTTGGCCTCGTTGGGTGTTGGAGCTTGCAAAGTGTGTGTGGGGGTCTGGCATGCCGATCTCGCTGTGGGGGGTGCTTAACAAGTCTTTATTTCATCCACTGTGTCTCTCGTGGAGCCGGTCCTGGGTGGTCGGGGAGCAAGGATGTGCTGCTGGGGCAAAGGCTGCTGCCGGAGGGGGACGAAGACCCCTTAAACCACCACCGTGGTGGGCGTTGAAGCCTCTGAGAAGCCTGGAGGTTGCAGCAGCAAAAAAATCTATACGTCCCACTCCTCCACCCCCTGTGGAGCACAGAGACTGCTGTCTCCACCTATAGATATGGGGCTTCTCCAGCAGCCAGAGCAGCTCTGTGTGGCCCAGCTATATTGCCCAGCAGCTCAAGCCCATGGGGAGATGCGACGGCAGCGCTGCCAACCTCAAGAGTTGGTCAAGGGACGGCTTGGTAACGGCCATGATTATCTAATTTGCAAGCACTCTTTGCCGCTGCCTGTTTGAGGTGGAGGGTTAGGTTTTAATCTTTCCTTCCCGGCTACATAGGCTCAAAATTCACTTTTCTCTTCTAAATAAGCTCAAATCATCACGCAATTATTTGCTGGGTCTTTATGCAAGAGTATTAGAGGTTGGTCTTGATGCTGAAACAAGAGGATGGCCCCATGCGTTGCCTCTGGGGTCTGACACACAAGGAGATGTCACCTTGCTGGATTTTCTTAACTTTTAATACAACGAAGGCGTTAAAACCCCCTTTTTCATTGGAGTTAGACCACGTAACACCGCTTTGTAACGCATCTTTGCCTTCCTGTGTCCTATGAAAGACGGGACCAGCAGCAAAACGCACACCCCAAAACTCACCACGTAAGTATCGTGCTGCTCCGTTAAGGCTTTTATCGATTTGCTTTTTCACTTTGACACGCTATTGTCGCTTTTTTCGGTGCTGAACACCCTTCCCGTCTCCTTGCAGCTCTGAAACCGCCTCGCAGCTAGCTGGAAGAGCGAACGCCCTCCTGGAGACCAAGTCCCAGCAAAGGAAAAACGTGATGGTAAATATGGCATTTGCTTTTCTCCTCTCCCAGCCCACCGCTGGTCACGCAGCACTGGGGGACGCCCGGCTCTAAAATTCGCTTTCAGGGTGGAAAGGTTTGGGTTAGGTCTAGGTAGTCCTTGTTAAGGCCGAAAATGAATTAAAAGAGGGATTTTTCACATTCCTCTGGCATTTTGGGGGTCCTGCACGCTTTCCATTCAAAATCCTGGTGTTCAGACCTCCAAAAGTGCCTCAAGATGCCCCTAAAGACCATTGGAGATGTGCAGAAGGGGCTGATGAAAGCACCCATTGACTTTCCTGGGCAACCAGTGCAGTCTTGGCGCTTTTAACCCCTTCTCCAAAGCCTTGCCTAAACTTTTTAAGTTGATGCTGCCCTTTTTAAGGCTGAGCTTGGTTACGGAGATCATATTTACAAGCGTCTGATTTAATTTTTTTTTCCCTTCTTTTGTTACAGCAGCTGGAAGAATGGAGATAAAAGACTTTTTATGAGCAAAAGCGAGAGTCTCCAGACTTCGGTGTGTTCATCCTCTTCTCGCCTCCCAAAGGTAATGCCATCGTGAGCTAATAAAACATTTTTAAGAGATTGTGGGCAAAGATGCCCAGCCCCTATTTTTATTCCATGTTAAGGATGCGGTCTGGCATCGTCATCTATTAAACAATCTCTTTATTTCACTTCCCTACAAAAGCACGCCTGTTTTTTGGTGTTCTTTTAACGTATCTTTCTTTAATTTCAGGATGTCAGCCTGAAATAGCTGCTGTTTCCACGGAGCCGTGGATAAATTATAGATCAAACGAGGCTGGCGTGAGGTTGACAGCAATCTTAAATGTCCTGGGACATATCCAAAACCATGTGAAAGACTTTTTGTAATGAGTAATAAAGAATATATTCCCATTTATCACGTCTGAAAGGTGCATTTGTTCACATCGTTTCCTACTCCCACGGGGAGAAATAGCGAATGCCCAAAATGGACGAAATAGAAGAGAAGCGGTCGCCCAGAGGATGGTTTTCATGTAGGGCTTGCTTGGAAACCCATCAGCTGCGAGGGTGGGAGGCCCACAGCTTCTTGGCTCTGCGCTTGGGGACAAAGAGAGGGGACAAGAGCCTCACTCAAGACCCTTCTTTCCCGTTGCAGCTGCAAGAGGCGAGCGCGGCCGTGCGACGAGGACGTGGCCCAGATCGGCCCGAAGAGGATCAGGTACCTGGGGCCGGTGGGGAAGGGGAAGCTGCCGTGCCGTTTCCTAGCCCCTTGGGAAGACGAGAAGGTGCCGCTCGGCCCTTCCGTGATGGGACACCCTTGGCAAGCAACCCTTGCTCTGATACAGGCCCCCCGAAGGGCTTTATTTACTTAAATTAAGCTTTTGATGGGTGGGTAAGAGGGAGGATGGGTGAGGAGGACCTAGCGGGGTGCCAAATCCCCAGCTTTTTCGGCTCTCCTCCCTGCTCATCCTCCCCGACGATGGGTTTTTTTCCACCCTCCTGCAGGAAGGCGGCAAAGCGCGAGATCCTCCTGTGCGACTTCGAAGGCTGCGGCAAGATCTTCTCCAACCGCCAGTACCTGAACGTGAGGCCTGGGGGCAATCGTTGCGCTTAAATCCACCTCTCACGCCCCGGGAGGTGCAGTCGAGCTGGGCACGAGCAGCCCTCCCACTCCCACTCTCTTCTGGAGCCAGCAGGAGCTTTGGTGACCCATTAGATGGGTCAGGTTTTGCCTGTCCGAGCTCCATTTTGGGCTTCTTGGTTGTTGTCCTAGAGCTGGAATTGGGCAACCTAAATCGCCCCTGGCTTTCCGAAGCTGGATAATAGACAGGGGACTTGTTGGCCCCGTGTGTTCAGCAGCAGCTCGGCGTCCCTGAGGCTGCACGAAGTCCCACCGTGCACGAAACCGGGAGCGAAACGGGCAGAGAGGTTGTCCCCTTGGGCTTCCTCCACGTTCAGCTTCTCGGCGCCAACCTCCTCTCTTCTTACTCCCCTCCTTTTTCTCTCCAAAAATGACAGCACCACAAGAAATACCAGCACGTCCACCAGAAGACCTTCACCTGCTCGGAGCCCAGCTGCGGCAAGTCCTTCAACTTCAAGAAACACCTGAAGGAGCACGAGAAACTGCACAGCGGTGAGTTGGCCACCTGGGCACGGGCACCCTACACGGATCTATACCTCCCTATACCTCCTCTCCTGTGCTACAGCTGAGCACATCCAAGTCCTCACCGGTCCTGTTCACATCCCTGGTAGACATTACCGTACCCGTTTGCTTTCCGCTCCTGAAATCTACTGTCGAGCTCTCATTTATCATCTCCATTCCTGTGCTGGGAAAGCATCCTGCCTCCTAAAATACATCCTGAAAGCGCCCTGACTGCTTGTCTAGGCTGGATCAGCCCCTAATCTTTTTTTTCCTTCTGCCCCACAGACAAGCGGGACTATATCTGCGAGTTCTGCGCCCGTTCCTTTCGTACCAGCAGCAACTTGATCATCCACAGGCGCATCCACACAGGGGAGAAACCCCTGCAGTAAGTACCAGGTCCCACCGATGCGACCGCCAACTCTCCAGTTGGCGTCGGAATCTCTCCCCATCGCTTTTTCAACCCAAGTTTAGCTTCTCGGTGCATGGGGTGGGAAGAGCCAAGTTTCTCGCCGTGGGTAGCCAGAGGTCTTGCTGTTATTTTTGCTTTGCCAAAAGGGTTTCTGCCCTGCCGCGCTCTGAGCCAGCAGCTTCAGGATCAGCTTCAGGGCGTGGGCTTGATTTGGAGAAGCTTAATAAGCTGGGACTTAACGGGAACGATGCATTTCCTTGCCTGGAGGGTGTGCTGAAGCCACACAGAGCTAACGTAGCGGTTCGGGGAGGTGGCTTTGCTAAGCCCATGTAAAATTGCAGCATCAAGATGAGGCGGAGCCAGTTCTCCCTTGTGCTTAATCCCTTGTAATACCTTTTTTTTAATTTCTTTTACACTGAATCCTCTCCTGTTTTCTCCCAGGTGCGAGATCTGCGGCTTCACCTGCCGCCAGAAAGCCTCCCTGAACTGGCACATGAAGAAACACGACGCCGACTCCTTCTACCAGTTCTCCTGCGACATCTGCGGCAAGAAGTTTGAGAAGAAAGACAACGTCACCGCCCACAAAAGCAAAAGTCACCCCGAAG